ATCAAGGCAAGTGGTTGGGGCCCCTCAGAGAAAACTCCCTTCCAAGACTGAGACGCAAGGGGAATATACGAGCAGGTAGGTGGTCTGGCTGGTGACCACATTGATCACCAATAAGGGGAAGAGGGGGTAAAAAACAGCAGTGAAGTTGCAGGCTAAGTCCAACCACATTCAATAGACCCCTGTGAATCCAGGTGGAGACCTGGATGGCCAGTAGAGTACGGCAAGACCCAGGGACTCCTAGGCCTAGAGACAGTGGCTTGGCCACAGAGGACTAGAGCAGAAAATGAAGCATCCAGCTGATACGAAGTGCGGGGAGATACACAAGAACACCCATACTTGGAGATAGTACCCACTTTACCTGGGTTCGATGGCTGGATGATCTGAACTTGATTAGAAGAAAGGTGGGGAAAAAAACGAGTAATCTGCTACAGTTTGATGAACTTGACCTATACTTAAGAATGTGGTAGCTCAAAAGAGGGAACAAATCTTTACAGTGAGGATCATTACCACTCTCTCGATACGCAGGGTTGGCAGAGATGGGCAGTTTAGACATTGGCTACCCAAAAGTGGGGGCTACAAAGGCAAGAAGTGGTTGGCTTACAAGCTTTCAAGAGGGAACTTAGGTCCAGAGGGTGGTCTGCTGGTGACCACAGTGGTCACCATTAAGGGGAAGTGGGGGGAAAACAGCAATGAAGTTGTGCTTTAGTGGAGTTTTAGTAGAAACTCCACTGTGATTGCCAATCTGCCTGGACAGGGCTGATGAAAGGAGATGGGCATAAGACTCCTGTGGCACAATAGTGAATAATTGCTATCAGGACTGACTGTGAAGGTTGAAAATGTAAAGGTAGACGTTTTGTAACAAAAGGAGGGAAGTGGATGATTTTGCAGTCTGGGAAGGGAGAAGAGCGGAGTGTGGGACTCTACCCAGAGAAACTGATGCCAGAGATGGAGGCAGAGATGATTACTTGGAGAGAAGGAGCGTCTGGGGACTCTGGATTCAGGGAGGAAGAGGGGCTGTGTGCTGGTGGCAGGGGACAGGCTTGCGGGGTATATACCATTTGGTTGTTTGATGGTACATGGAGGGGATTGTAATCATTGCAAAGAAATGAAATAATGATAGGATGAATGTAAAGCTGAAGTTCTCCCTTGTAAACTTATCTAATTCACAATAAAAACTTTTTTTTTAAACTTCTTAATGGAAAATGGTAGGGATCACTTTCTATTCCAGGTGTCCTTAATACAGTAGTTATTTCAGTTTTTCGGAAAAAAAAAAATTAATTTTAAAGTAATTTTTTTTATATATGTATGTACTTAAATAAATGTTTTTTGCTGTGAATTGAGTGAAGGTTTACAGAACAGATCATCTGTTTTACATTCAATAAATCATACACTTTGCTTCATTACAATTGCAATCCCCTTCTTGTGCCATCAGGTAATATTAGTTATTTATCTCTTCAGCCGATACATTCCTCCCTATATCTCCCATTACCTGTATCTTTCCCTGTTGTATATTGCCTGCCTTGTTACCCATGTTAACATGTGTCTACCCGCTAACCTGTAAATAATTTTATCCCCCCCCCACTATAACCAACATGTTATCATTGTTAAGTGCCATCGAGTCGATTCTGACTCAATGGCACTTAACAATACTAGAGTTTCTGAGGAGCAGCTGGTGGGTTTGGACTGCCAGCCTTGTATTTCACACCAACCTATTAGTCTTGTACTCATCCTACCATGCCATATCAGGACTCCTGTAACTATTATAGATTGTTTCTTTTATTAAGAAAACCATTTCTAAACTTTTTACAGCCTTGGTCTCATAAAATACTTGCCCATTTGTGATTGACTAACTTCATTCAGCATAATGTCCTCCAGGTTCATCCATATTGTGAGGTGTTTTGCAGATGCATCTTGTTCGTCAACATCGTGTAGAATTTTTGCTTTGTAGTTGACTTCATTATAAATTGGTATCTCTGGTTCCCTGTTTTAGTCTTGTAGGTTTGTTTTACTTAACTCTATATGTGGATTGAATTCTGGGTGGTGTTGTCGTGTATATTGATCTCAGGTGCCTTTAGTATTTTTTTGTAAAATTGGTCTAGTTATTATGAATTCCTTAATTTCTGCTTATTTGGAAATATACTCATTTCATTGTTGAAATTTAGAAACAACTTTGCTGGCTATCTGATCTTGGTTGGCAGTTTTTTTCCTTTCAGAGTTTTGTGTATATCTCCTTATTACCTTTTTGCTTGCATGGTTTCTGCTGAGAAATCAGTGCTTAGTCTTACTGTTTCTCCATTGTTGATAACTTTGTTTTCTCGAGCTACTCTCAGGATTCTTTCCTTGTCTTTGGTTTTTAAAAGTTTGACTGTATGTCTTGATGGTTTTCTTTTGGAATGTTTTCCCACGTAACTCTTAGACTTTCTTGGATTTAAAATTTTTCCTCTGTTTGTTCTTCTAGCATACTAGTACTGAGAGATTTATCTTCAAGCTCACTAATTTAGGCTTCCTTCTACTTCCTTGCCCTTTCAATATATTGTCCACTTTTGAAATCTTGGTATTACTCTTTTGGATTTCTAATTGCAGGTTTTGTATTGTTTCAAACCTTTTCATTTATTTTGTCTGTTTTTCTAATAGTGTTTGCTGAATTATTCTATAGCTTTTGTGTTCTTGGTTTCCTCGATATTTCTGACAATCCTTTGAAGGTTCCTAAATATTATTCTGTTGAATTATTTTTCAGTTAGTTCTGTTACCTTTTCTTCCTCAGAAATGTTTTTCTGGCTCTGTATCTTGGTCATTTTGATACATTCTCTCCTGTTTCTTCATGTGAGCTAAAATTGTCTGTTGGCTCTATGGCATTTTGGGTTATATTTAATTGATTGTATGTTGGTGTGTTCTTATACTCTCACCAGTTGTCTCCTGTGGATATTGTTAGAGAATGGAAGCATGCAAACTGTTTGTCATTTGTGTACCTCAATTTGGGGTAGGTTTGGCTGTTGTCTGTCATTGAGCAGGTGGTGTTGTAGGGAACTGGTATTGGCCTTTGCACATTGGGTGGAGCTACAGAGGGTATGGTTGTGGCTGGACTTATATGGGTACGGTTGCTATCTCCTGTCTATTGGGAAAGAAGAGATAACATCACACAAATACACAAATAAAACTAGAGTAGATAAAAAACTAAAAATGAAAAGAGAAAGAAAGAAAAGTAGGCAGCAAGCAGAAAAAAGGATAAGAAAAGAGGGACTGCAAAATGGAGAGAAAAATAAAAGACAAAAATTGAGTCATTTTAAAAAGCCACAGAAAAGGAAGATGAAAAAAGATAGTAGAAAGTAATTCTAAGAAATGTGAAACAGAAAAAACAAAAGTGGTAGAGATACAATAAAATTCAAGGGAATGGAAAGAGAAGACAAAATAGAATAAACAAAGACAATTAAACAATGAAAGGCAAAAACTGTGCAGCTGTTGGACCCAGAGAGGAGAAAACTAGGTAGGGGATTCCTGCTGCTAGCCAAGGCGTTTACAAGGTGGGTTGTGAGAGAGATGTGCCAGTAGAGTTTCTGTTCCTAGATGGAGATCCCATAGGCCTGGGTGTTAATCTGTGTTCAGGGCACTCAATCTAGATGGAGCTAATTTCAGTGTCTTTTAGGACCACTGGGCAGCTGTGGGTATAGTAGTGGGCCATGAGGGTTTCCACTAGACCAGTTCTGATCTGGTGGTCCTTTAGTTTCTCCAGTTCTGGAGCCTCACCATCTGAAACCAGGCACTAAAGCAGCACAGCTAGCTCTAGCCCTACACTGCCATGGCTCCCAAACATATGCTTCCAAACTTCCAGAGAGCAGGGTCTGTGCTGGGGGTGGGTGTGAGTGGGAGTTACAAAAGTCCAAGATGGCCACATTGTGTCTGGTCAGCTGTTCACCAGTCTCCTAGTCTCACCATCCCTGCTCAGCTTCTCTTCCCAGGAAGCACTCAGTGCATGTCTCTAACCTTTACTCTGAAATTCCAGGTTCCAGGATTTTCATCTGTATCTTGTATCTTTGTTGTAGAGGTCCATGTAGTGTGTCTGTCTAGTTTACCGTCTTTCCAGAAGTCCAAGTTTGTACTTTTAATGTTTTTATTTTCTTTCTTTAAATTTACACATGTAATTCCAAGGATCTACTTTGATTATTTAGCAGGTAACAGCTAAAGGAACTGGTTTAAATCCTAATGCCAAAGTATGGCAAGAAATTCCTTCTGGAAGTGCTGATGCCAATCCAGTAACTCATGGAATGGATAGCTCTTGGCATGAAACAGCAACTACATCTGGGTCTCACTCTGAGGGTAAGTCCTAAATATTTCATCAGAACAAATCATGGTTTAGATAAATGGTCAAGCCAATATATACTTTGGAATAATACATCTTTTGATTATTAAATATAATTATGAATGTTTGTTTATATGTAGTTAGTATACATTTATCATTTATATCTAACATTAATGGATTGCCTATGATTTCATATAGTGGCTGTATGTGTGAGGGTTTCTAGCATCAAACCCATATTATCTTTCTTAATGTGTTTTAATCTACCATCAGACTCTGCTTTTTATTCACTGTTTGACCTAAGGCAAATGACTTAACTTCTTTGTGCTTGTTTTGTCATCTATGAAGCAGAAATCATAATAATACCCACATCATAGGATTTTGTGAAATTAAATGAATAATGTATATGAAGCATTCTGATACATAGTGCTATATAAACGTTAGCTTCTCTATGATGGTCAAAACTTATCCTTGGGATAACTCTTAAAACCATGCAGACATTTTCTTAACTGGTAGAATTCTTGCCCAGAGTTTCTGAACATAAAATTTAAAGAACTTCTATTTATTCCTTATGTTTTCTTTCAATACAGGTAATTTAGAACCTTCAGATGATATGTGTAAGGAATATGAAGTAATGTATTCTTCATCTTGTGAAACCACAAGAAATACTGCAGGCATTGAAGAACCAACTGATGGAATGATTTTGGGACCAGAGGATCTTAATTATCAAATATATGACATTTCTGGTAAACTTTATAGCTTTACTGGTAAAATGAAAATTCAGTATGCTGGTCTCCCTTACTCCCTCAGTCTCTTTGTCATTGTATTGATCCAGAATACTAAGTTCTTTTAGGTACAGTACTTATGGTATTACTCAGTTGGTTTTCTTATTTAAAAAGAAACATATTAATGAAGGATGGTTGCTATAAATACTATTTTCAAATACCCAAACATGAAATATGTCATTTAAGAACAACATTTACTTTAAGGAGCCTATTAAAGGAAAGTATAAGATTAAAGAATAATTGTGTGTGTGCCCACCGCACGTGCGTGCATGCACGCACACGAGCATATGCGAAGTGGGGATGTCACAGGATTAAGGGAAACCTAAATTACAGCCTATCAGGGTCTTTGTTCTCAGTCTGTTAGTGGGAACAATAGAGATTTTACCAATTTTCCTGTTACTTTTCCTTAGAAAGAAATGCATTTAAAATGTGAAATTCCAAGTATTAATTTTGAGGAAAAGACTGTTAAAAACATTGTTTCTACTATACTACAGCTTGTGAAAAGTATCAGTATGGGTTAGAAGTCACTTGGTTTCACTGAAAATGGATGCAATGTAAGACACTTTATTTTCACCTAGTTTCTAAAGGATCTCTGAAAAATAAGCATAGTAGTAATTTGTATCTATATAAGTAGCTTCCATCAAGGTTTATAAATTATCCTTTGTCCTCAATTTCATTATTTGTTATCAAAGTTTTGGCTAGATTTCCAAGAACACCTGATTGTAAAAATTTTTCTGAACTAGAATTCCACTGTTACCAAGTCAATTCTGACTCACAGTGAAAGCAACCCTATATAGGGTTTCTGAGACTGTAAATCTATACGGGAATAGATAGCATTGTTTCTCCCTTGGAATGACTGGTGAAACTGAATTGCTGGCCTTGTAGTTAGCAGTCCAGTGCTTATCCTACAGCAAAACCAAGGGCCTGTTTTCTGCAGTAAAAGAAGATTGTATTTCCATATAATTTAAGGTGGTACATTCTATTTTCTACCTGTTGTCATACCTAACTACTGGCTACATTGAATAGAGTTGATTTAAGCAATATGGCAGTATTTTACTGTTTACTCTCAGTTGATGCTATTGAAAGGTTAAATGAATTGATTGCTCATTTAGCTAGCATTTTGATTAAAACATTTTGTATTAGAATGTTTTGTATTAGAATGTATATGCATAGAAATAGTGTTTCTTATTTTTAATGAAGCAAATTTAATATCACTTTGTTCTTGAGTAATAAGACAAGTTAATGGTAAAATCGTGCACGTATTTTATTTAGCATTGCATACATCCGGTTTCTGTGTATTTAAAAGAACTTTAGCTTATATTGTCATTAATACTTTTTAAAAAGAAAACAGATTTTATGCTGTTAGCCTGTAATATTTTGTGTGATTCATTGAAGAGTGATGCTTTTCTAGGCTTCAGCCTTGATAAAGGCTCATGTTCTATGTTAAATTCTAAGAGTTTAGAAGATTTACATAGTTGATCTGGTCCTTTGAATGTTTGAGTGCATTTAAACACGTTTAGGAAGGTGGAGTGTATGGGAGAATCCAAGACTGAAGAGAAAGGGTATTATGAGGGAAATTTAGTGATAAACAGATTTGCTACCAGTAATAGGGATATATATCTATGAATGAAACCTTCTTGGTTTAAATAGTTCCAATCTTCAAATTTAAATTACTGTTACTTTTGTTCTTTGAGTTTTCATTAAAGGAACAAGAGATTGTAATAGTCATATGTTTATGGCAGTGTTCTACAACATAGTAGACAAGTGCTTTTTTAGTATGCGGAATACAGCAATATGTAAGAGTCAACATTTATGGTAACTTGGTATTAACTTTTTTCCTCTTGTTTTTTACTGTTAGGAGAAAGCAATTCAGCAATTTCCTCAGAAGACCTAAAAGAATGTCTGAAGAAGCAATTAGAATTCTGTTTTTCACGGTACATAATAAGTTTTTATTCATCTTTCTCTTTTGAATTGTTGGGTCAGCAGATGTATAAGAATTGGTGTACTTAAGTGCCATCAAGTCAATTCTCAGTATAGGGTTACAAGGAACAGCTGGTGAATTTGACCACTGACCTTGTTCAAACTGACCTTGCAGTCCAGTGCATTATCCCACAGTGCCACACCAGGACTCTATGTAAAAAATGATGATTATCATTTCCCTTTAAACCCCCATCATAATCTATCTAAAAGTGTAGCCTCCAATTGAATGTCAAAAAAATATCAGTAGATGGTACAGGGAGGGGATTACAATCATTGTAATGAAACAAAGTATATGATTTGTTGAATGTAAAACTGATGATCTGCCCTGTAAACTTTCACTCAATTTACAATAAAAACTTTAAAAAAAAAAAAAAATCAGTAGAGAAATGTTTAATTTTCTATTGGATATTTTCATTATATTCAGGTTTAGGGTTCTCAAATTGATTGTCTCTTAATTATTGTTTTTAATAATTGACTCAACTTTCCATCATAGTTATGTTTTTAGTAAGATTGTTGGATGGGTATAGAGCTTTTATTATCAGTGCCTTCTATTAAAAAAATACTTTTTAAGCAAATAATTAAGATGTCTAATGTACGGATAAAAATTATTGAGATACATTTGTAGTCCTGGTATAGCGCTGTATGTAGCACTGAAATACTAACCACAGGGGCACTATGAGTCAGAACTGACTAGACAGTTCTGTTTAATAAGAACACAACAGCTTACCCTGCCTACCTACCAATTGCTGTCAAGACCATAGGAAAGGATTTTAGAAAGGTCATTGTTTATTTTTTTTCACGAACCTTGCTGAAGCTTTCTCATAAATGTCAGAACTGAGCTTCATAGGATTTTTAATGGCTGATTTTTCAGAAGTAGAAAGGTTTGAAAGCTAGATCTTTCCTCTAAGATGCCTCCAGTCTTTAATTTTAGCAGTTTACTACCACCCAGGGTACAGAGTTTAGTCATCAATATAGAAGTTTGAATTTGGATATAAATATATGACGTTTTTGGTGAGTGGTATTATTTATTATTTATAGTGGTATTATTTACTTGTAAACCAATTTCTCAAGCTAGAAACCTGACTTTTATAGTCACCATCGTCATTTCTTTATACATTAAATAGTCTCACCTCAGGTCCAGTTAGTTTCTCATCCAAATCACCCAAACTAAAATGCAGCTATAGTCCTGGTATGGCACTGTAGGATGAGCACTGCACTGCTAACCATAAGATTGGCAGTTCAAACCCACCATCCCTCTTTGGAAACCTTATGCCATGTTGCTATGAATCTGAACCAGCTTGATGGCACATAACAAAATAACGACAACAGTATATGCTTTGTAACATACATTATAACTTTTTGGTATATTTATAGCTCTACAAGATCCTTTGTCCAAAATTATTTATCCAGATGTGTTGGGGATATCAGAAATTTTCAGAATGTTTTTAAAATATATCTATCTTGTCTCATGTTATGTTGGTATTCTTTTAACTGAACATTTCATGGTTCACAGTGTTGTTTCTGATAACATAATTTTGTTTTCCAAGTATTGCTTGTCTAACAGGACTGTTACCACCTTCTGTTTATTTCTTTTAGAGAAAATCTGTCAAAGGATCTTTACTTGATATCTCAAATGGACAGTGATCAATTCATCCCGATATGGACAGTTGCCAACATGGAAGAAATAAAAAAACTGACTACAGACACTGATCTAATTCTTGAAGTATTAAGATGTATGTAAATCATACTTTTTATCTATTTCAAGTTTTAAAAAGTTAAACATTAATTTCTGATCATTCGAGAAATTGTTTTTAACACTATTTTTTCCTGTTCTGTTTAATTTTCATTTGTAGTAACTGGTGCAGATAACATACAGTTAAACATATCAATGCTATACCTTGGTTGTTGGGTCGGTCTAATTCCCACTTAGTAAATATAAACAATTAAATATCAGTTTTCTGGTCAGTTAGAAAACCATATGACATATGTGTCATTTTTACTCACGCTGAAGCAATCGATTTCAAACTTTTTGAACCAAGTAAGAGTTTACATCATAGCCCAATTGCTGTGTATTTACGCACAACTAAAATGTTAATTCACAATATTAATAATAAGTGCTTATAATGAACTTATTTCTTTGATTCTAAAATGATTTCATTACTTACTAATGGGTTGCAGTGTGACAAATACAGTTTTGAAGATTTAAATTGCAGTTCTAAAAATATTTAGTGGTGTTTGGGTCTTATGGGTGATACATACATGGTGTAACCATTCTTATGTGGATTTTGTTTACTACTTCACTTTTATATGAAATATATTACTGAAAATGGATTCTGGGTGTGCGGCTGTAGGTTAAATACAGGGAGTCCTGGTGTGGTGTTAAAGGCTAGCAATGGACTACTAACCACAAGATTAGTAGTTCAAACCTACCAGCCACTCCTCAGAAATCCTATACGCGGTCTCTATGAGTTGGAAACAACAGCATTTAACAGAAGTTACTGTAAATGTTCAAAAGTTGAATATAACAATTCCAATAATCTGTCTGTATATGGTTAGAGAATTTCTAAGAGGGCTAAAGACATTTATAATACCTCTAATTGGTTAGTACAGAAAATCATCATAGAAACTGGCCAAATCCTCCATCTCCTTTCTTTGGAACTCAGCACTTGCTCCCAAGCCTTTCACCCGACTGCTGCTTTTTATTATCTCTCCTTATTTGTGCAGGGAGATAGGTTTTATAATAATTACCTTTCTGAAGACAAAACAAAAAAACGCATCATCATCAAGTCGGTTCTGACCCATAGCAATGACAAAGTAGAATTGCTACTTAGGCTTCTGAGACTAAAATCTTTATGGGAGTAGCTGGAGGGTTTAAACCGCTAACCTTCTGGTTAGCAGCCCAATGCTTAACCCACCACACCACCAGGGCTATGTGGTTCTGTTTTGTGACTTCTGGATTTAAATACACACAGAGGTAGGTAACAATTATCTGCACTCTGTTATATGAAAATGCCCGTCCACACCCACATGCAGTCACTGATGACATTTAGCGTACATTTGAAATGATACTGTTGACTAGACGAGTGACAGTGGAATATGTGGCAGATCATTCTCAAATCAGCCAGGCCTCTGCTGATTATGAAATAATCTACCACAGATTTGGGGTTTCAAAAAGTTTGTGCAACGGCTGTAAAAGTAGAAGCTTTGTAAAACAAAAAGGAGGGTAGTCCTGGTGTGGTGCTGTGGGTTAATGCGCCAGATTGCAAAGCTGTGTGAAAGGCAAGGTCGGCAGTTCAAGCTCACCAGCTGCTCCTTGAAAACCCTACTATACAAGTCGCTGTGGGTTGGAACCGACTCGACGACACTTCACAACACAACAAGTTAATCTTACAGTCCAGGAACAGAGGACCCTAGGACCATCAGTGGAGAAGAGCACTAGCAGAATATGGGATCCAATCCAGAGAAACAGTGATACCAGAGATGACACAGGTAGAGCAGCTGAAGACTCAAGACTCGTGGCAAGAGAAAGGCTGTGTGCTTGCAAAAATGTGCCTTTTGGTTGTTTAAATGATTATACATTCTTAAGTGTTTTGTGCACATACCGTCAAAAAAGAAAAAACGGAATAGAAGCAAATAATGTTGAATGATGATGCATGGAGGAGAATGTAATCATTGCAGTGAAACAGTGTTCTTACTATGTAAACTACCACTCAATTCACAATAAAAACATGTACTGAAATAACTCACAGAAGAGCACAAACAGAACTGTCTGGACGTCTGCAAACAAAATCCTTACTTGTGGTGAGACATGAATTCATCACTACGTGCCTGAGAGTAAATGGCATAGCAATCACTTCAATCACTGGTCAAGAAAAAGTTTAAGTTAACCATCAGCTGGAAAATTGATACAGTTTTCTGGGACCCCCAAAGACCAATAAATGGTACACCATCAGGAAAAAGGTTCAGCAATCAACAGTTCTCATTATAGTGAGAAGCTCACTGAAGAGCTAAAGCTTAAATTTAGGATTAAACCTGAGGACTGCTATCCAAGGATGCTTTGATCTTGCATGATAACGCACATCCACACACTGTTTACACTCTGCAAAAAACTTAATTTTGAGGTGTTAAAGCATCTTCCCCATAATTCTGATCTTGCTCCATCAGACTTCCACCTCTTTAGTCTCCAGAAAGCAACCCTTCGAGGACAAAGACTCCCCTGTGATAAAGTGAACACAGCAGTCAGTGCAGTGCATTTGTGGCATACATCTCAGCTTAAAACATTTTAAAATAAGGAATATGAATGCTGTTGACAGATAGACAAGGTGTATTGAATAGAAAATCAAGGAGATTATGTCTAAAAGGTGATTAAAATAAATTCTACAGCCAGCGTGCACATTATTTTTGACTCATTCTCTTGCGTGTGTGTGAGAGAGAGAGAGACACTTCTGAGTTTTTTATATTTATATATAAAAATATGTAACATATGGTACTAAAATGACTTTTGGGTTTATATAGGAGTAAATAATGTTAAAATAAAGGACAACATAAAATTGGTGTATCGTTCCTAGGTTAAGGTCTGTTAGTACTTTGGAATGTTTTAATGAATGTGAATACAACCATTTGTTATCCGGAAAATGAATAATTTGGTTATTGTTTGCAGATAAATTGCTTCTTTGCAACCCCAACACAGTGCCAAGTTCCAATAGGTTCTGTGAATATTTGTTCGATGGATAATATTTAGCAGTGTTCTTTGCATATAAATCTTAAAACGAATATTTTTAGGCTTTTTAAGGTAGCTGTAGCCTTTGATTCAACAACTTAATTTCTTTAGGAATTAAAAAATGTCTGCTATTTAGTCACAGTTGGAAATTGAAATGGGTAGTTTTTAGATAGAATTATTTGTATCTCTAGTTGTCAAATTTACATGAAATTATTTCTATTTTACATTTCAGCTTCCCCCATGGTTCAAGTTGATGAGAAGGGTGAGAAAGTGAGGCCAAGTCATAAACGTTGTATTATTATTCTTAGAGAAATTCCTGAAACAACACCAATAGAGGTAAATCACTAAGCATTATAAAAGTAAAATATTCTCTAAATATTTAAATTGTACCAAATAGAGCAAGGTATAAACCAAGGTCTATATATGATCAATGACTGTGAATAGGATATATATTAATTTGTTTTGTAAATTTTGAAATATTAGAAGCGCAGTGGGGCCTTGGGAAAAGATAAAACTTTATCTTCTTAGAATACTCAAAATTGAGCATTACAGTGATACTAATTCTCTGTAATAGTTTGAATGGCAAGTAAAATTGAAAGAGAATTTTTAAGGAACTTCAGAATTTATCTGAAAGAATGTTGTTGTTGTTATGTGCTGTGGAGTCGATTCCTACTCATAGCGACCCTGTACAGGGTTTCCGAGGCTGTAAATCTTTACGGGAGCAGAAAGCCTCGTCTTTCTCCCGCGGAACAGCTGGTAGTTTTGAACTGCTGACCTTGCGGTTCGCAGCCCAATTCGTAACCACTACGCTACAATTTTGAATAAGGATTAATGAGGCTGCAGTATAGTTGGTTAGCAAAATACAAAGCAAACCTGTAGTCATAAAGCTTATGACTTGTACAAAAATAGGATAATATTTGAATGAAACAAAATAATGGATAAATAAGTCTTCATTTTAGTAGTTGGGTAAGTTCTACCAAAAACTTTGCAGTGTACATACCCATTAAAAACCCATTGTTGACAAATTGATACCAACTCAGCCAGCCTGTAGAATAGAGTAGAACTGCCCATGGGGTTTGCAAGTCTGTAAATGTTTACAGCAACAGACTACTGCATCTTTTGTTTGCAGAGTGACTGGTGGGTTTAAATCACTGTCTTTTGGGTTAGCAGCCAAGCACGTTAAACACTGCTCAACCAGAGCTCCTCCAGTGTACTTTACTGTTACTTAAATCTGAAGGTTTTATTACCACATAAAAATGAGGCTTAGAATGATTAAATAACTTGCTCAAGGACACAAGGGCTGTTAAATGAGAGTCAGGACTTGAACTTTCTCCCTGATTCCAAAGGTCATGTTTCTGAACCATGAAACAACTGAATTTCACACTAAGTTAATGCACTAGAAGAGAGAGAAAGGGAGGATTGATTAGGAACTGATTTATAGTAATTGAACCATTTAGAAAATTATTTTAGACCCTTGCCACTTAATAATAAATTTGGCACCCTAATAGGTAATCCTCGTCCAAATTCATTTGGCAATAAGTCTTCAAAAACACTTAGAAAGAGTAGGAAAATCTAGAAAGGAAAATGTAAACTATATGTTATTTAAGGAAAAAAGTAACAAATCGAAAGAAAAACTCCCATCGCTTACCACAGATTAGTAGAAGGAATAGTTACAATATTAATAAATAGTGTGAAGGTTGTATGCATGAACTTTTTATTTGCAATCAAATTGCCTGGGTGTGAATTCTACCTTTTTTACATCCTAGTACTGTTACTTTGGACAAGTTACTTATCCTCTCTTTTCCTCAGTTTTCTCATCTGTTAAGTGAGATAATAGTAATAAGTAACTTGACACAGGGTTGTGTTTTTAAATAAAGTGAACTAATGTATATACAGGGAGTCCTGGTGTGGCACCGAGGGTTAATGCGCTAGACTACAAAGTCGCTTGAACTGCAAACTGAGCAGTTCAAGCTCACCAGCTGCTTCTGGGAAACCCTATGCAATGTTGCTATGAGTAGAAACACACAACGACACTGCACAACAACAGCAACAGCTGTATATATATAAAATGCTTAGAGCAGTCCCTGGCATATAAAACAGTGAGGTTAGCCATTATTGTTCCTATAAGTCATATTTTGAGTGTATAAAGTGCTGATAATATATAAGGAAAAGAAAACCATCAGTACTACTTGTTTTCAAAAATAAAACAATGTAGATGGCTAAAATAGGCAGTGAAAGTAAATGTATGCTTAAGTAATGTTTGTTATTGTTATCCTATGCACAACCCAGTCCTGGGCCAACCTCACAATTGTTGCCACACTTGAACATATTGGTGCAGCCACTTTGCCAATCCCATCTCTCTGGGGGTCTTCCTCTTTTTCTCTGCACCTCTACCTTACCAAACATAATACCCTTCTACAGTGACTGGTCCCTCCTGACAATATGTCCGAAGATGACGTTTGGCCACCCTGGCCTCCAAGGAGTACTCTGGCTGTACTTCTTCCAACAAAGATCTGTTGGTTCTGTTGGCAGCCCATGACACTTTCAGTATTCTCCTCCAGCACCATAACTCAAAAGCATCAATTCTTCTACGGTCTTCCTTATTTAATGTCCAGCTGTCACATGCATATGAGGTTATTGAAAATACCACGGCTTGGGTCTTCAACCTGACATCTTTGCGCTTCAACACTTTAAAAAGGTCTTGTATAGCAGATTTGCCTAATGCAATAATACGTCGTTTGATTTCTGCATTACTGCTTCTTGAGTGTTGATAGTTGATCCAAGGAGAATGAAGTCCTTGACAACTTCAGTCTTTTCTCCGTTGATTAGAATGTTGTTATTGGCCCAGTGGTGGTGATTTTTGTTTTCTTTACATTGAGATGCAAGCCATACGTAAGGTTGTGGTCTTTGATCTTCATCAGTATTTTAAGTCCTCTTCACTTTCAGCAAGCAAGGTTGTATCATCTGCATATCACATGTTAGTAATGAGTCTTCCTCCAATCCTGATGCCACGTTTTTCTTCATAGAACCCAGCTTCTCGTATTATTTGCTCAGCATACAGGTTGAATAAGTATGGTGAAAG